ATGGGGTTTAGGGTGGGATTTTTCTATGTGGATCTTGGTGTGGGTCTTATGGTGGTTCCATCCTAGGGGTATTCCTATGGGTCTTTTGGTGAGGTTAGGGTTGAGGTATAGGTTGTTATGGTTTGGGGTGCTAGGGGGGGGTGCATGGTTAGAAAATGGAAATGGTCATTGCTAGCTGTTTTGTAGTCTGCATTTTCCACAGTTTAGAGTAGCCGACGAACAATCGCTATGCTTGGCAACCCACCTTGTTCAATCTGTTTCGTGCTCTGTAGCATACGAGATGTGCCTGGAAGCGTTCATTCTCGAAGGCGTGTGATCATGGAGACGGAGAGATATCTCACGCTGCCTCCCAAGTTCATCCGCGCGGTTCGCTAGAATCGGTGCTGTCTTATTGCCTTTTTTTTTGAGGTCAGACCAGTTGACGTCCTTGATTCTCTTGGCGGACAAGAACTCCGGGGGACTCCTTGACTACGAAGAGTTCACGGAGCGCTTTGGCGGCTCCGGGGGTCCTTTGGGGATTCCCGGAGGGGCGCTTCCGCCCCCGGCGGTGGAGGTGGCGGACGCCTCGGCCGAGGAGATTTCGGTGGTCTGCGCCCGGACGGCCGCAGTGATGGAAAGCCACGGCTTTCAGTGCGACCGCCTTCCGGCCCTGCTCGCCTTGTGGGGAAGCGTCGAGCTCCCGAGCCTGGCGGCGGTGATCGCCTCCCTCCCCCTGGGCCTCTCCCGACGGGAAGCCGTGGCTTTGCTGAGCCATGGCAGCGTGGAGGCCCTGGTCGCGAAGATGGTGCAAGTGCAGAGAGAAGGGATCTGGAAGAGCCACGTGGAGTGGGCACAGGGCCAGATCCCGGGCCATGCGCTCCGGCAGGTCCTACACCATCAGGTCATTGAGGCGGAGTCTCGAACTCTGGAGCCCAGTGACTTCATGGAGGCCCTGGCCAACGCAGGTGTGCCTCCTGGCAACATTCAGATGGCCATGTGGCTCGCGCAGAAGACGAGTCAAGGGGATGTCCAGGTGGCTTCCTTCCTTGAGTCCTTCAGTGGCAGCCCGCAAGCCTCCGCAAAGAAGAAACGAGGACTCCTCTGGCGAATGATGGGACGATGACGATGGGTGCAACTGAGGTGCCGCAATCGTCCTTTTCTGGCCAACGTTGCCAGGGCATTTCCCCTCGTTCGCCCACCTCGGTGCCAGTGACGTTGTCCAATCTGCAGCTATTGCAAGCGGTTGAGTTATGGTGCATTGCTTGTAAGAACTGTATTCAGCTCTCGTCTTGCAGAACTGACAAGCAGTCAGCATTCCAAAGAACCACGGACACGGGCACTAATCGGTGAGTCCACGGGACTGGTACTTGAAATGATTTGATCTGCATGCTCGAGGTCGTCTGGGTTGTTGGAAGGCCTGGAACTCTTCAGCTGAAGGGTTCGAAGCGTGACAGCGCTGCAAAGCAGCGGCGGCGAGAGCGCGAGAGCGAGTCGTTTACAAAAAACAAGACAGGGCGAAGGGCGAACCGTTAGAGGCCAAGAAAAGCCGACAGCTTTGCGCCTTCACGGTGCCCTCTCAGTTTTCGACCAGTTTGTGCATCGTGCGCCCATTTCCAGTGAGCCCTTGGGGCTTCTGGGGGCTTCTGGGTGTTTCTGGGTGGCGATGATCCGCGATGGATTTGCCGGAGCCTCCGACATCCTGTGACACGTTTTGCGTTTGCTTTCTGCATCTTCCAGGTCCGAAGTTGAGCAACGGATTAGGCCGGGTCTCTGCCAGCCTCCTGTGAGATGTAATGAGACGCAGCGTTGGTGTCCGAGGATGCTCATATTTGATGCAGACGAAGCTGCGGAGGTCCGGTGGAGAATAAGAGGAGAGCCGCGAGAGTGCTGTTTCCTTCGGAACGCAGCCAAGATGACTGCAGAGAGCGTGCTTCAACCCGCTAATGCCGGTCTCTGCAGGAAGAGTCGAATGGGGTTGGGTTGGCCAGGGGGTGACGAGCACCTGGTCGCCAGCCCACATCAATCTTTTTGTCAGATAGCTCGAGAGCCGTAGTGCTGAGAGTGTACATGCAGCATGTGGAGGCAATCCTGCATGCTCCGCATCTGGGCTTTGCGCCCTTGATCTTCCACTAGCATTCGGCGTAAGATGTGTCAGCTCGGAAATTACGGAGAAGTCGGAGCAGCGCTGGGGCTGCTTGAAGATTGCGGAGGTGTTGGCCACTGCGAGCCCAGCAGGGATGAAAGGAAGGAGTAAGGAAAGGAGTCCTAAAGCCCACGAAGGGGAAACAGGGAGAATTGTAGGACCCCGGTGCACTGCCACAAAGAGGCTGAAAATGGCCTGGACGCCGCAGGTCAGCGAGCACTTCCGCATTGTGCAGAAGTTGGGCGAAGGGACCTATGGCAAGGCCGTATTTGCCGTGCTTCGCACATGCAAGTCAAAGTCATCAGCTGTCTCAGGTGTACAAGGCAATAAGCCGCACCACCAATGAGGCACCGCATCCAGGGATCCCATTGCCAGAAAGGACGGGCAGCTTCCTAGACAGTCTCTGGTGCTTCCTGACGCAAGGTCTTCGCTCTCAAAAGGATTCCCATCCAGCAGAGTGAATATGGTGTCAGAATCTTACAAGGCTCTGCTGCATCCGTCACGGCCTAAGAAGCGGAAGCCAAGGTCCCCGCGGCCACCATCAGGGAGGCCTCCAGAGCGAGAGAGAAAGAGGGAGAGCCAGAGCGGGAGAGAGCTCAGAGCAAAGGCAATCCTGGCAGACGGCATGCTATCTTAAACGCGCAGCGCGGGGTCCTTGTGCTCACTGAACCAACCATCGATCGAAGGGAAGCACGCTGCCAGGGGGCTTAAGACGCTCCCTATGCCCTGTGGAAGAAGAGGGTGAACTCATGTGAACAAAAAAGGGTGCATTCGGCGGGATCAGAGCGAGATGAGACTGAGAGACGGCCTGCTTGATGCAGTTGTTCGAGAGGTCTCGCTACTCAAAGAGTGCGACCATCCGAATGTCATCAGGCAGACAGTCTTGACAAGTCTGCATCTGGACTAACTCGCTTTGTTTCAAGAGGCTCTATGAAGTTCTTTCCAAAGAGCATGCTCGCTACCTCGTTTTTGAGTTCATGGACATGGTTGGAAGCCGAGTCTTCTTCTTTGCTTCAGCGACTTTGAGTTTCGTGCGTCGCCAAAGCAGCTTCAGCCTCTGCTGAGGATCTCCGTACGTACTTGACGAGGTCGGGAAAAACCGTGAGTCTCATGGTGATATCGTGCTCCTTTGCTTTCCTTCGAGGAACGGTGCGTTCAAAGATCTTACGGGCCTGAAGAATGCTGCGTGGCAGTGCATCCGGTGCGACTGACCTGACGGAAAGGAGTCTTGTTGCTTGATTTCGCATCGTCGCCTTTTTTGTTGCCCTAGCTGCACCATGACATCACTGTACTCTACCAGCTAGAGTCCCGAGTCTACCTCCTAGTATACCCTGAAGCCGGCGGAGACGAGGCGGAAGAGCTCCGGCCCCGAAGTCTGAAGCTTTAGGAGTTTAGGGTTTTAGGGTTTAGGGCAAAGTTTAGGGTGTTTAGGCTGCCTGAAGTTCCACCCCCTTCCGTTCAGATTCAGTTTCCACAAGCTTGAGCCGGCGCCATGGTGGCTCCTGGGATCGCGGGCGTCCACCGGAACCTCTACGAGGTGCTGGGCGTGGCGAGGGACGCTCGGCTCAGAGTGCTGTCTGTCGCCTTTTGGGGGAGCCCCGGGAGCCGAGGATGCCAGCTTGTCCGCGATTCGCGCGGCCTACCGCAAACTGGCCGTGCAGCTCCATCCCGACAAGGGCCGCCCGCCCTGCCTTGGGAGTCCTTTTGAACCGGAGGCGGTCCGAAAGCTGACTAGCCGGCCCAAGGTGGCGGTCGAGAGGAGTTCGCGGAGCTGCAGGCTGCCTACGTCATCCTGTGCAATGCACCTTGCTTCAAAGGGGATCTACGGAGAAGGATGGTCCTTGTTGCGCACCTCCGCAGAAGAGCTTCTGCTTAAGGTGGCGTTGCGACAGCGCTACGACGAGACCGGGAAGACAGATGTGCCCGCAGATGTGTTCCGTCTGCACTTGGGACATGGACCAGCGATTGAAACCTATAGAATTTTCGCTCAGGTCCGGAATGGGCAGCGAGCCCGCGCAGAGCACGCCACGCACGCCACGCCTGTGAAGGCTGGGATCATTGCAACAAGTTTGTGTCTCACTGACTTCCGGACTCTGGCGCGGTTACTCGGCAGGAAGAGGTGTTGAACTGCTGGAAGTGCGGCAGTGAGCTTCCGGCAAATGCCAAGTTTTGCCAGGACTGGTGTTTTTTGATGCGATGTTAAGAGAGAGTGGGAGTTACCCACAAAAAGAGATCCCTAATTCCAAGACCAGGAGTGTGGTGCCCCGCGGCAGGTGCGGCGCCGGAGAGCAGAAGCCCGAAAAGCCAGAACCCGTTTGTTTTTTTTTGGGTGCCAGGCCCCGGCAGCAAAGCCAGAGGCCCAAAGCCGCAAGAACCTGCAAAAGGCCAGGAGACGGGGTTAGGGCGGATGGGGTGGTCAGGGTTGCCAATATTTTTATGTTGGTCGCTATGAGCGGCCCATTCAACCCCTTAGGTTCCCTTGGGTTGTTCAGGGAACTTTGGTGCTTGATGTTGCGGTTCGTGTTCGTCAGCGTGGGGACCGAACTATTGGTTTGCTTAGTGGTTCTGTGACTTGTTTGTCACTATGAACTTGCTTCAGAGGAGATGTGCCATGGCCCAGCCCCCGACCTCCGGAGTTGGGCGAGGGCAAGGGGCACCAGGCCTGAACCTTTCACCACCCTCCCAAGCTTCCACCAACCCCAACCGAAGAAACCCTAAACCCTAATAATAGGCCCTAATAAAGTTAGGACCCCCCTTGCCCCTTTTGGGCTATCCTATTCTACACTCTAGAACCCCAATACTCTTATCCATCCAAATGCCTGAAACTCCCCCTACCCCAATCCCGAACACCACCCGCCAACGCAGCAAGAGTAGTACGTTTCATTAGCCAGCCCCAAAAACCGAAGCTCTTCTTCTGAAGCCAAACACGATGAAGACGACCGCGAACAGACGATGAGGACTGGTTTATGCAAGGTTAGAGTTAGCGCGAGGATAGGCGCTGCAGCAGGCTCAATGATTTTGCAGTGAGGGTTGATTTGAACGCGGATGCATTGGCTGATGCCCACACATGTTCATACAAAACAGTTTGCGCATTTGCCGCCACGCTTGTGCTTAACGGTCCGGAAGTCTTCAGCTGCAGCTGCTGTATTCTAGAGAGATTGTGGCAGATACCTGCAGCACGCCACAGTGAGCAGTAGTGAGCATTGTGTTGAAGAACTTTGTGCCCGCATGGCTCGCCTGCGAGCCAAAATCGCCATATTCGCTTTGATGATGACCCTTAGCAGTCAGAATCTTCTCTGCTTCTCGGTGCTGCGGCCTGCAGACTTGACTATTACCCAGTACGCCCGCAATATAGTCGGCGATGCTGTGCCGAATGACGTCGTCCTCAATCTTACCGACTTCATCGGTTCAGCTCAACGAGAACTGACGGATTCACAAATGCGCGAGTTGGAGCTAAAGGCACAAGTACGTGAACTACGCAGCAATTGCCGTGAACTACGCAGCAATTGCTCCTTCCTTGAGAAGGACAACGTGCACTTGCAAAGAGAGCTGCTCCGTGGTCAGCACGACGTATCGACCTTGTGTAAGCATTGTTGTAGGGCGTCAGCGAAGCGAACATAGTTTTAATGTGTCGGATGCAAGTGTGTAGCTCGAACCAAGGATGGCAGTCAAAGTGCAAACAATGGCGGTGCTGTGCAACTGCTTCCTAGTAGAGACCGGCCTGCTCAGCAGAGACCCAAATCTGTCTTTGACACATGCGTACGAAAAGTTCAGATGCAAGCTCGTGTCACCCAAGAAGAAGCTGACACAGTCAGGAATATTATTGCTGGCAAACATCTCCAAGAAGACAGGGATGAACGTCAGACAGCAACCTGTGGCCACTGAACTCTACAATCTCATCCATGAGCTGTCAAAAGACGCCCACTTAGTTGATCTCGAGGCTTGCCATTTAGCACTTCTTTTTGAGCGTCAATCCAGGT